AAAAAAAAAAAAAACTGAAATAGAAAACAGAAAACTAATGGAAAACGTTTAAAAATATATAAAACTGGTCTTCAGAAGGATTGACAACACTTAAAATATCTTTACTTAAATATAACAATAAATAGAAACTTAGCAAGGTAGAAACAAAAGATATTATACTGTCAGAGATCCTACAAACAGCATTTCAGGAAGAAATATACAAAAATCTTTTCCAGGTATACAGCAGGACAGAGAATTACTAAGTCATTTTACAAAGCCAGTAATACTCTAATGCCAGCGAAAGTGAATAAAAGATATTACCTGAGGAAAAAAACACCTCCCTTGAATAGAGACAAGATCCTTAAGAACATGTAAGCAGGTCAAACCCAGCAATATATAAGAATTATGCAACAAAACAAATGTGGACTTTTCCCAGAAAGCAAGTAGGTTTACATGTGAAAATCAAGCAATGTAATACCATAATATGAAAATAGAGACAAATAACAAAAAAGATGGAGTCACATTTACCTATTTTCAAAATTCCTTTAAGTTATAGTGACAAAAGCTTTGTAGAATTGGCGTAAGCAAAACTATACAGGATGACGGCAAAAGAGTCTACAAATGCATCCACATACGGATCGTAAATTAATTGTTGACACAGTGCCAAGGTGGGAAGAATAAGAGTTTTCTACAAATTATGTTTGTATAATCAGATATCCTCATGCAAATTGGATATTCTCACACGATATACATAAAGTAACTAAAAATGACTCAAATGTATGAAACAGACACATTAAATTCTATTATAAAATATAATATGACACAATCGATTATAGAGGGTAATCTCCATAAGGTTACTTACGAATGTTAATCCTTTTTTATTTTTGAGACAGAGTGTCACTCTGCCATCTAAGCTAGAGTGTAGTGGTGTCATCTCAGCTCACTGCAACCTCCACCTCCCAGGTTTAACTGATTCCTGTGCCTCAGCCTCCCAAGTAGCCGGGAATACAGGCACATGCCACCTTCTCCAGTTAATTCACTTTGACCTTTTAAGTAGAAACAGCTTTTCAGGGCCAGGCACAGTGGCTTATGCCTGTAATCCAGCCCTTTGGGAGGCTGAGGCAGGCTGATTACCTGAGGTCAGGAGTTCAAGATCAGCTTGGCCAACAAGGTGAAACCCTATTTCTACTAAAAATACAAAAATTATCTAGGCAAGGTGGTGCATGCCTGTAGTCCCAGCTATTTAGGAGGCAGATGATGAAGAATTGCTTGAATCCAAAAGGCGAGATTACAGTGAGCTGAGATCATGCCACTACGTTCCAGCCTGGGCAACAGAGTTGAGACTCCATCTCAAAAACCAAAAATAAAAAACACAGTTTCATCATGTTGGCCAGGCTTGTCTCAAACTCCTTATCGCAAGTAATCCACCTGCCTCCGCCTCCCAAAGTGCCATGAGTACAGGTATAAGACACTATGCATGGCCATAAATGTTAATCCTATCTACAGAGCACCTTCACAGAACATCAAGTCTATGATAAAATAACTGAGCTGCTTAGGCTACCCAATTCTGACACATAAAATTAACAATGTCAAAAAATGTTTTAAGACAAATTTTGAGCTTACACTTCAAATACTATCAGCATGGACAGTCTCTGTTTTATACTGAATGACAGCTTTTTCTTTCTTGAAGCCATATTTATTGAATACCTGGTTTGGCCACATCTAACTTTTCCAGGCTCAAGGGATAAAACAATAAAAACATTCCAATTCCCTATTTTATCCAGCCTATTAAATACATAAAAAGGGTACGAAATAATTTAGAATATACAATATTAGATGATGTTTGATATGGACCTTACAGAAAAATGTATCAGAGGGTAGAGAATGCTGGAAACAATAAGAAGGAGTTACATTATGAATAGAAAGATAATGAAAAGCTGTTATATTTTATATTTTGATGTTTGATTAAACTTCTGGAGGAAAATCTGAGAGAATAATGAAGATACAGTATGCCCTTTCTATTTGTGAGTTCCCACACTGGTGAATTCATCCAATCATTAATAAAAACTCTAAGAAAAAATATGTAACAATATAATAATACAAATACTTATATTTAAAAGAGTTTAATTTATTTTTGAGGAGCTAACTTTTCTATGATGATCAGGACATAGTTGTAACAGAAATCAAGAGGGAGTAAAAATGAAAACCTGGTAGATTGTACAAACTATTTGTTTCACAGAAATTTCTTGTTTTCCTCACTCAATCCCTATTGATCAAAGCTAACAAAAGAAAACTGAAATGGTAGCCCAGTACTGTTCAACCTTCATTTTAGAAGGATTATTTATGGCATATATTTCCTAACCATAGCCCTTAATATGGCATATACTGATATATGCTACAATGTAGATAAACTTTGAAAACACAATGTTATAGGAAAGATTTAGATACTAAAGGTCACATACTATATTATTTTGTGTCTAGGCTGTCTATAGTAGGTATCCATATAGATAGAAAACAGATTGATCATTACCTAGGTTTAAGAGAAGGGAAGTGAATAGTTAACTTACTTATGCTGCCACCCAAAGTGAACATCCAGGCAGATAGATTACACCTTACCAGAGTATTATAACTTACCGGAGCAGACGGCAATCAACAGAAACTGCTGCTTGAACCACTAAAAAAAACACCTAAAATACAACTGAAAAACTGCTGGATGCTCAATGTTTTGACAGTTTGAAGTATCAGGGAGATCAAGTCTTATGGTGCCTCCACATCTTTGAGTTTTATCACCAGAAGCCCTCATACAATAAAGACTAGAAAACACTGCTTTATGCTTCTAACAGGAAAACAGGCAAAGTAAACATTCTGAAATGTTTCCTGAGCATCTGTTCATAAAAAGGCATGACTCAGGGAAATTATTTTACTATTTGGCCAGAGTAACTAACACATCTAGAATTTTATTATAACCTAAACAACTTGACAGATAGAAAATACTCAATGCCAACCCTCTCAAGCCTCCTTGTTTTTCCAATGGGGAATAAAATGCTGACCAGCACTTGTGAACTAATCAGTCTAGAGGTAAAGAATCATTAAAAGATTGAGAACTAATAAAGAGCATTTGTTTTCCACACACTTTATCACCTTATCAATACAACACCTGCAAAATAATGGGGGAATACAAATGAAAGAACTGCATGACTCTGATCTTATACAAGCAGTCATCTATACGAGAAATATGACAACAGGGAAAACAAACAAAAAACACCATATAAAATTGTAGCCTCTTGCATTAAAAGCCTTGGTAAACAGTCAACACAGGCTCATAGTGTAATTAACAGAAAATTCAAACAGAAAGCCTATTTATCTCACATCCTTTTAGTCACTATAAGGTTTAGGTGGTTTTTTTTTTTTTTTTTAATTACAAACTGAGAAACACAAGAAGGACAGAATAATCATCAGAAATAGACACTGGAATTATCAAACTGGGAATTTAAAGTATCTTAAGAAACCTAAAGGTAGGCTGAAGATAGCCAGAGAAAGAATCAGAAAGCTTGAAGACATGTACACAAAAATTTTCCAAAGTAAAATGTGCGGAGGCAGGGCGTGGGGGAAGTGGAAGGAGAATGAAAGAAAAGACGAGAGTACAGAAAAACTTCTGTATAAAAATAAACCAAAAAGTGCAACAAACATGAAATGGAAATACTAAAATGGGAATGAGAAAAGAAAAGAAGAAATATTTGAAGCCATAATGCCTGCGATTATTAAAAGTTAAAGATAGAAACCAAACTACAGATCCAGCAAACCAGGAGAATATCCAACAGTATAAATACCAAAAAAACTTACAATATGCATCTACATGTAAACTGTAAAAAAGGAAAAACAATGAAAAAAAATCCTGAGAAAAATTAAGGTTAAAAACAAAAAAAACAGTCTAGCTTTCCTATGAGGAAGCCAGGTTAAGAATGATATCTGACTTCTCTTGGGAACATATGCATTAAACGACTATTTGTGCCCACCCTTACTGCCCAATTCATGTGTGAAAACTGAATCACCAGGGCTGGGCGCAGTGGCTCAGACCTGTAATCCTAGCACTTTGGGAGACCAAGGCATAAGGATCATGAGGTCAGGAGATCAAGACCATCCTGGCCAACATGGTGAAACCCCATCTCTACTAAAAACACAAAAATTAGCTGGGACTGGTGGCCTGAGCCTGTAATCCCAGGTACTTGGGAGGTTGAGACAGGAGAATTGCTTGAACAAAGGAGGCGGAGGTTGCAGAGAGCTGAGGTCTCACCACAGCACTCCAACCTTGCTCCTGGTGATAGGGTGAGACTTTGTCTCAAAAAAAAAAAAAAAAAAAAAAACTGAATCACCAAGGTGAAGTTATTAGGAGGCTCGGCTTTTGGGAGGTGATAAGGTCATAAGGGGTAGAGCACTCATGACTGAGATTGGTGTCCTTACAAAAGAAGCCTGAGAGAAACTCCTTGCCCATTTCACCATGTGAGGACACAGCAAGAAAGTAACATCAATGAAGCATCTCACAACACACCAAATATGCTAGCCCTTTACCTTGGATTTCTCAGTCTCCAGAACTGTAAGAAATAAATTGATCACCTAGTCTATGGTATTTTGTTATAGTGGTCTCAATGAACTAAAACTCCATGCAAAAGGGAGAGTAGACAAATATGTTTAAAGTAACCAAAGTAAAACTCAACCTGGAATTTCAGCAAAATTACGATTCAAAAAATGAGAAAGAAAATTTTTTATAAAAGAAACACTTGAGAGATTTCTGTAACCAGAAAAGGAGAAACCAAGAGCTATGAGAAAAGGAATGGGAGCTTTTGTATATTTGGTGTAGTTGTTCTATATACCTAACATAGCTATAAAAATAAAGTATATCAATAAAAATTAAAAATAAATTTCAATAAATTTGCATCTCTGTATCAAAACTTTAATAGTTCTACCGTGCCGTCAGATAAAGCAGGTCCTTCACTAACGCCTCATTTTTACTTTACCTATTCATATTCTCTAGCAACTCCTTACCTGCGCTTTCTCCTTCCAAATTCCTTCGATTGTCTGAGTATATAATGTGCTGTCCCTCCCAAGGCACTTGTTCATGTCACATTGTAATACAATTAATGGTAATTTCAATTTTGCTAGTCCTTTTCTCCCACAAATAAATATTGAACAGCTTGCATAGTAGTGATGTTCTCCAGAGAATATGTGCAAATGATTACTTGTAGACATTTTTTTTTAAACATGGTCATTATGCCTTATTTAAATAGCAATGATATTTGGTATAATTGTAACGTGATAATTTTTTTCCTTTTCCTCTGATTTCCATACTATCTAATGTAATTTATATGTACACTAGCTTTACAATTAATAACTACAAAAATCCCTCATATTTGTAGGGGATAATTCCTAGACACTCGCTGGATGCCTCGAAGTGTAAATAGTCCTGAATTCTCAATATGTTTTTGTATTTTAATCTGATAACTGAAAGATAGCAACTAATTGAATAAATCGTAGGTAATGTATACAGCTTTGATATGCTAAACAGAGATGATTTACATCCTGGTCAAACGGAGTGGAACAGGACAAGATTTCATGACACTACTTATGACTGGCACGCAATTTAAAACTTACGTATTGCTTATTTCTGGAATTTTGCATTTAATATGGACTGCAGTTAGACCCAGGTAATTGAAACCAGACAGAAAGCAATATAGCAAATTTACAATACTGTAAATAAACTTATGTGCACAGACTGAGTTACTCTGTAGTACAGGCATACCTCATTTTATTGTGCTTTGCTTTACTGCACTTTGAAGACACTATATTTACTACCAATTGAAGGTTTGTGGCAACCCTGAACATAACCAAGCAAGTCCATCTGTACCACTTATCCAACATCATGTGTTTACTTTCCATCTCTGTAACTCTCTCAATTGTATTAAGCTTTTTCATTCTATCACTGATTTGTCATCAGTGTTGTTTGATTTTATCATTGTCATTGTTAGGGGCACCACACACAGGGCAGCAAACTTAACTAAGAAATGTTCTGCGTCCTGATTCCTCTACTATCTAGTCCTTCTCCTATTTTTCTCCTTCTTGTCAGGCCTCCCTATTCCCTGAATCACAAAAATATTCAATTAGGCCATCTAATAAACCCTACTATGGCCTCCAAGTATTTCAATGAAAGGAAGAGTTAAGTATCTCTCACTTCAGATTTCTGGATAACTCACAACTTTGAAAGAAGATCTACTATGGGTATTTATTTATATTTTTTTGAAATAGTCTTACTCTGTCACCTAGGCTGGAGTGCAGTGGTGCAGTCTCAGTTCATTTTAGCTTTGTCCTCCTCGGCTCTCAACCAACCATGTCAACTCGGCCTCCCAGCATCTGCGAATGCAGGCACACACCACCATGCCCTGTTAATTTCTGTACTTTTTGTACAGATGGGGTCGTGCTTTGTTAGCTGGCTGGCCTCCAACTCCTGGACTCAAGCAATCCTTCTGCCTTGGCCACCCACAGTGTTGTAATTAAAGGCATGAGCCACTATACCAAGACACATCTCTCCCTTTAAATCCAAAGTTAGAAACAAAGTTAGTGAGGAAGCCATGTCCAAAGCAAAGATAGCTGCAAATCTAGGCCTCTAGCACCACGTAGCTGAGTTGTGAAAGCCAAAGGGAGAAACTAAAACTGTTATTCCTGTGGATATACAAATGTAAAGAAAGCAAAACAACCTTATTGCTGATATGAAGAAAATTTTAGTGGTCTGGATAAAAGCTCAAACCACTAACAACATTCCCTTAAGTCAAAGCCTAACACAGAGAAAGCCTCTAAATCTCTCCTTCAATTCTATGAACGCTGACCTTGTTGAAAAAGCAGAAGAAAAGTCTGAAGCCACCATACATTGGTTTATGAGGTTTAAGGAAAGAAACCATCTCTGAAAGTACAAGGTAAAGCAGCAAGTTATCTAGAAAGCCTCGCTAAGATCATTGATGAAGGTGGCTACACTAAACAATGGATTTTCAATGAAGATGGAACAGCCTTAAAATAGAAAATGCCATTTAGGACTTTGCTAGCTAGAGAGAAGTTAATGGCTAGTTTCAAGGCCTCAAAAGACAGGCAGATGCCCTTGTTAGGAGCTAACAAGGCTCATGACTTTAACTGAAATGTGCAATGCTCATTTATCATTCTGAAAATCCTAGGGCCCTAAAAATTATGCTAAATCCACTGTGCCTATGCTTTATAAATGGGATAACAAAGCCTGTATGATAGCCCATTGCTGAACAGCATGGTTTACTAAGTATTTTAAGCCCATATTGATATCTAGTACTCAGAAAAAGAGATTCAATATACTTTTGCCCAGTGAATATGCATTTACTAATTCAAGAGCTCTGATAAATATAAAAAGAGATTAAATTTTTCTTCATGCCTAAAACAGCATCTACTCTGCAGCTCATGGATCAAGAAGTAATTTTGACTTTCACTTCTTATTATTTAAGAAATGTATTTCATTTCATAAGGCTATATATAGCTAACACAGACAGTGACTCCTCTAATAAACTTAAGCAAAGTAAACTGAAAACTTTTGGAAAAGGATTCATCATCACTCTACATGCCATTAAGAATTTTCGTGATTCAGAGGAGGTCAAAATGAATGTGTAAGAAGTTGATGCCAATCCTCATGGATGACTTCAAGGAGTTCAAGATTTCAGTTAAGGAAGAACTACAGATATAGAAATGGCAAGGCAGTTTGAGAAATGAAGCTTGCAAAAAGGATTGAATTGCGCCAATCTCATGATAAAATTTGAATGAATCAGAAGTTGCTTTTTCATGGATGAGAAAACAAAGCGGTTTTCTGAGAGGAAATTCACTCCCGGGGAAATGCTGTGAAAACTGTTGTGATAAAAACAAAAGATATGCAATATTACATAAACTTAGTTGATAAAGGCAGTGGTAAAGTTCAAGAGGATTAACTCCAACTTTGAGAAAAGTTCTATTACTGGCAAAATACCAAACAGCATGGTATGCTACAAAGAAATCTTTCAAGAAGAAAAGAGTCGGCTGGGTACAGTGGCTCACACCTGTAATCCCAGCACTTTGGGAGGCCAAGGTGGAAGGATCACTTGAGGTCAGGAGTTGAGACTCGTCTGATCAACACGGTAAAAACATGTGTCTACTAAAAATACAAAAATTAGCCAGGCATGGTGGCACACACATAGTCCCAGATAAAGCTAAGGCAGAAGAATCACCTGAACCTAGTAGGCAGCGGTTGCAGTGAGCCAAGACTGTCCCGTTGTAAAACGTGGGCAACATGTGGACACTGTTTCAAAAAAAAGGAGAGAGGGAGGGAAGGGAGAAAGAGGGAAGAGAGAAGGAAAGGAGGAAAGAGAGAAAGGAAGGGAGAGAAAGAGGGATGGAGGGAGAGAGGAGGAACAGGTAGGGACTATCATTGTTGTCTTAAGGGATCATAGCCATTCCATCAGCAACCACCACCCTGATCAATCAGCAGTCATCACCATAGAGGCAAGACACTCTGCCAGCAAAAAAACTATGACTTGGTTAATGATCACAGGTTTTCTTTTTCTAAACAATAAGATATTTTCAAATTAAGACGTATGTGTTGTTTGCTTATACAAACTGATTGCAAACTGACAAGATATAGTGTAAACATAACTTTTAGATGCACTAAAAAATAAAAATAAATTAGTGTGACTGGTTTCATTATGATACTCACTTTCTTGCAATTGTCTTGCATGGAATCTACAATATGTCCAAGGCAGGCTTGTAATGTTCCTGGTACCACTTAGAAGTTTTATACTGTTATGAACCACTTAAATTACTTTTTAAAGACAAAGCCATTCTTTACATTTCTATCTTTTCTTCTCAGAATGTAAAGAAACTAAATAAAGGTAAAGTACTATATAAGAGCCAAGAAAGCAGCTAGCCTTTTTTTTACCTGAGCAGAGTTAGAAAGCTGTTTTCTCCATGGCTCTTCTGTGCTGCTGTTCAGGTCTGTACGATTATGAGGTAGAATAAATGTATTTTGCTGCAGGTAAGGCACATTTCCATTACTTTCACTTCCTGCTATACAATTACTGCCTACTAAGATAGTGTCTGTACTTCCTAGAATTTTTGATGTGCCACAAGGAATACAACCTGCAGAAAAAGCTCCACTGGACAAAGATTTTTCAGTGCAAGCAGGGTGAACTCCAGGCTGAGAGACGCTAGATACTCGGGTCAGAGCAGCATGTGGTTGTCGATTAGAGATAGAGTTTGTAGACAGTGATGAATCAGCTATTGCCACATTATGAATTCCAGTAGTTCGTACCTGAGCAACTCCTTTGTGTCTTATCTTCAAAAACAAAAAAGAAAAACTGCTGTGTGACTCTGAAAATGTGTAGTTGACACATCTCTAATTTCATATAACATTTCATCTATTTAAAAAAATGCTTGAAAAATAGGTTCACTTTAAAATAGGATTCCTACCCAAAGAAAGCTGTTTCAATATATAAAGAAACCACCATTTATGAGCAGCTCTAAGAGCAAAGCTGCTAAAAATTATAAATAATAAGTCAAAAATTTATAGGCATTTTTTTCTTTCATGAAACAGAAGATTTCAAATTTTCATTCAATTTACATTTATGGTAAAACCTTCAAATTAAACAATTATTAAAGTATCACTACCACAATTTAGGATAATTTCTTAATTATTAAATAATAAAATAAGCTCTCAGAATACAAGCATGTAATCACAAGTAAAATATTATGCAAATAAATAATAAAGTAATAAGTATTTGGTTATTTGAGTGTATTTCCTTAAAAAACATTTTGTCCATTACTAATACATATGTAAAACTCAGATATATACATTCCATCAGATATAGAGAGAAACTGTAAGTTAACATTAATATCCTCTAAAATGACACTACAGCCAAGAGATATAGTCAACATGTTGGTTAGAGAAAATAAAATATTATACATACTTGCTGCATTAAGACAAACTGACTTTCTAACTGTTCTAGCTGATGTTTCTGTGCTGGATTTAAATTATCTCTATTTGCACGCAGTTGTTCCAACCGCTAGAATAAGAAGAGAAGAATATAATCAAATTTAATCTACAATTTAAGACAATATAAGGCAACTCCTAACTAAAAAGACTATATAGATGGTACCTTTGCAGGATGAATGAAAGTGATTCTTAACCAATGTTAGTGAAGCTCAAAATACTTTAGCAAGTCTGAAAAAGGCAGTAGAATCTAAAACTCTGAGGAAAGCTGTTCCGTGTGGGTATAGTTAAATGTGTTATGGAGAAATAAAAATTCAGACAAAGCTATTTAGCTTACAATGTATTAAAATAAAAGTACTGAATGCAGCATTGTTCATAACAGAATTACTGAAAAACATGTTAAATCCCAATAATTAGAATCTGTTTAAATAATAGATTCGCCCCAAGGAATCATAACTAAAAGGGCAGAGAAGCAATACACAGACACAGAAAGATCCTTAAGATGTATCTTTAAGAAAAAAAATAAGATCCTAAAATATATGTAAAAGTCTACCTATAATTATATTTTAAAAAGAGAGACCTGGCAGGGTGCAGCAGCTCACACCTATAAGCCCAGCACTTGGGGAGCTCAGGTGGGCAGATCACTTGAGGTCAGGAGTTTGAGTCTGACCAAAATGGGGAAAGCCTTTCTCTACTAAAAATACCAAAAAATTAGCTGGGCATGGTGGTGCATGACTGTAGTCCCAGCTATTCGGGAGGCTGAGGCAGGAGAATCGTTTGAACCTGGGAGGCAGAGGCTGCAGTGAGTAGAGATGGCGCCACTAAACTCCAGCATGGGTGACAGAGCAAGACCCTGTCTCCATAATAAAAAAAAAGACAAATACATTTGTCTGTACATGTACAATTTACATATCTAGAAAAAAAAACAATTTAAGATTGCCTGTCCATGAAAAACTAAAAATAGTTGGCTAGAGGTAGAAAGCGGAAGGAACCTTCACCTTACGTATTTCATCATCTAAGTTTCTTCTCCCCTCATAAAATGTATTATCATTCCTAATATTCTGGAAAACATGAACTCATTTTACTACATGTATATTAATTTAGTAAACAGTCATTCAATTTGAGACTCAATGCCTAAAAAACAGTGTTTACGATTTCTCCTGCTTTCAAATTGGGGGAGAGATTATCAAACGAATTCATACCTGTAATTTCTGTGGTGTCAAACACAGCGAATAAACTTGTTGCTGTTCTGAATGATGTGAAACACTTTGGCCGCTATTCCAGTTATCAGAAACATTCTGAGGAAAATTTAGTGTAAAAGATTAAGAATATTTGCTTAATTTTACACACTAAAAGTTATGACTAGTGAGAACCAAATGAGCAGGAACTGGATATGTATACATACATACACACACGTGTGTGTGTATATATATGTATGTGTATATATATAAAACTTATCCTTTTACGTCATTTAAAAAATTATTTTAAATGCATAATTGATTTGTAAACTTACAAATTTAGGCAAAAAAAGGCCCGTATTTGAATTATGTCTGAAAGAGGTGGAAAGGTGGTCTACTATATTCAACATTCAATTTATTTCAATGTCAGAAGTAATGGTAAAAACTGTGTTAAAATTGTAAAAGCAGGGAAATGAATAAATGATTTGATGAACATAAACTTATCCCTACCTTCTATATTTAATGTGATGCAAAGATCAAGCTTAAAATACAGTCCAGACACAATTTCAGAAGAGTCAGTTTCATTTTTGATTGGGATTTTCTATATCTCTAAAATGTATATATACCTTTGTTTGACTAGATGTTCTTGTCTTCTTGGCAGGACTGGACGGGCCTTCTACTTGGCTAGGAGTAATCATGTGTAGTGACAAGGGTTGCTGTAAAATTGGTGTTTGACTATGGTTTAATACAGGTTCAGTATTTGGATGATGATGTTTATATGCCTAAGGATCACAGAAGTAAGACAAAAATATGGTTCTGCATATTCCTAATTCACTTCAAATTATAAAACTTTATATACTTTTCAATGCTATGTGTACATCACTGATGGCAATTATTAAAAATTATAATCAAGTGAAAAATAAAGGGAGCAATGTGTGCCTTCTTTACAAAAGTTTCATCTTTTAAACTTAATAAACAACTATAGAAAAGTCACTTAAGAACACCTTTCAAATCATGAGAATATACAAAAGTTTTAAACTGTCACCCATACTTCTTCCCGTATTAAGAGGGAGTTTTGATTTTCTACAACTCTTTTAAAAAGTTTCCTCTATTTTAAAGTCAATCCTTCATTTAGTGAAATTAATAAATACTAAAAAGTGGGGGAAAAACCCTTAAAGCTGGGCACCTGCAGAATATAACCCAACTTCTCACCTGCTGTGCTGTGTTCATGGCACCCTGCCTGGAGGTAAGCTCTGCGGGAATTGGTAGGCTCCACGCCTCCTCAATACTAGGAAGTAATTTAGTTTTATTCTGTAGACTACCTTGTGGAAGGTTACACAACTGAGCCTAGGAAAAATTATGTAAAAAGCAAATTTAACACAAGCCTACTTGAGTAAGAGCAAGTCCACTTAATCTTCCTCACTGTTATAGATATTTTTTTTTTAAGTCCTAAATTTGGGATTTTAGATAGATGTTAAGTATAAAGAGGGCAACTAGAATATTCTTGTGATATTCAGAACAAAAACAGGCTCTGTTTCTCAGATATCTTATGAAATTGCAAGCAAGTGTGAAAAATGGCATTTGTGTTTTTTTCTCTACAGTGCTATGAAAACTTAAAAATGTAGATAGCACACTGGAAAAATTCATGCATATTAATGAAAAATGTAAATTAACATGCATCAACAAAGTAAATGTGAAAAATAATATAGTTTACATACTACACATTACACTTAAAATTAAACATAAAATAATATCAAAAAATATTACAAAGTACAAAAACAAAGTAACATCAATCACAACTACACAAATTTGTCAGCCACCCTTACAGGAATACAATCATTTAAAATATACTATTTAAAATTTTTACCTGTAGAAATTTAATTCTTGCAGCAAGTGTAGAGGTATTACTACAATGTTTGCTCCTAGTTGCATTTAAGTAGCATTTAATAGCATCCTGAGGCTGACTGCAGGATTCATAGAGAGTACCTAGGTCCATCCAGGCTGCTGCATGGCCATTGTCCAATTGTACAGCACAAATATAGGCCTGTAAAGCATCCATAGGCTGATTTTGCTGCTGATACAACACACTGGAAGAAAAAGAGTGTTGTCAAAAACTAACTGGCTACTTTCTTTTGTTTATTTGTCAGTATTTTTCAGTGTCTCACTCTGTTGCCCAGGCTGGAGAGAAGTGGCATTTCCACCACACAACACAGCCTTGACCTTCCCTACTCAAGCAATCCTCACACCTCAGCCTCCTGTGTAGCTGGGACTACAGACACATGCCACCATGTCTGGCTAATTTTTAAATCTTTTTTGTGGAAATGCATCCCATTATATTGTCCAGGCTGGTCTTAAAATCCTGAGGATAGAGGGTCTAGAGATCCTCTATCCTCAGCTTCCCAAAGTGCTAGGATTACAGGAATGAGCCACTACAAACAGCCAGTTAATTTTATATTACTATACAGTACATTAGGTATTTCAATCATCCAGTGTATCAAGTAAAATTCTACTGTGTTTATATACATAGCCTTACCCTATTGAACACCATGTATCTGCACTTGCTTCTGATTTATCAATAGATTGCCTGTAAGATACAAAGGCATCCTGAACTTTCCCAATACTCGAATAACACCTAAAAGGAAAAAACATAAATTATCCATTAACAATCCATTTGACAAAAAGTGAAATGTATTTCAAAGGAGAGCAAGCAGATGTGTATGTGTGTACATATGTTTATCAATATACATATGATATAGTCATGTTATCCTCTATTATAACTTGCTGTTAAATACTGCCTTGAAAAGAGCTAGTACATGTTAATAAACTTTTTCTCAAAGCATTGGAGCCTGAATTATTTCAATGCTGTAATACTGCAGGTATTACACAGCCTTCTATTTACACAGTTTGAACACAGGCTTCCTACATCATAAGAACAGAGTTAAATATAAAGAGAAAAGTACCTTTGATAATGACTTTTATACTAGAATTTAATATTCTCCTTCCACTTAGTAACACTGAATCTGTTGGGATTACAGGCATGAGCCACTGTGCCTGGCCTTCATGTAATTTTTTTGAGACAGGGTCTCATTATATCCCCCAGGTTGGTATGTAGTGGCATGATAATACCTCAATGTAGCCTCCAACAATCCTTATAACCTCAGCCTTCCCAGTGGCTGGGACCACAGACAGGCACCACACCCAGCTAATTCCGGTATGCTGGGTAGAGACAGGGTTTTGACACTTGCCCAGGGTGATATTTAATTCCTGAGCTCAAGCAACCCAGTCTCCTTGGCCTCCCAAAGTGCTGGGATTACAGTAATGAGCCTACATGCGAAGCCTGAAACTGTAAATTTAAGCATCTGTGTTATACCATTTATAAAATGCTACAAGAAATAAACAGTAACAACCGTCCTTTATAATAATGAGACATTTCAATACTATAACAGAATATGCAACAAATCTTATTGTTAAAAAAGCAAAAAATGTTCAGGTTCATATTCTATTTATAGTAAAAAACAATTGCTCAAATATAATAAAACTTAATGCCACAGACCAATGTTTACACCTGCCCCTTTTTGGTAATTAGCCTCTTTTATAATGTTAGGGTATTAAAAGCCTATACTGTGGAAAAACTAACATAACAGTATATAATTGTGCTAGCTGTAAGCCTTAATGTGTCTTGGTTCACTTGCTCTATTTAGTAACAGGACTATTCAATTAAGTAATAAAGCCAGTTTGCTCAAAACACTTTGTTGTGCAATGCAGGTACAAAAAAAATTCAGCTTCTCCTGAACTTTAGTGGTGGATTAAGTCAAAGTCTGAACTTTCAAGTTCTGTAATACAAGCAACCAAAGCCAAATTATTTTATAATCACTAGAGTTCTTCATTTAAAAAAACCCTATTACAAAGAGTTAACATCATTCTTATTATATATCACTAAGAGATAACTAAATATTTTAATAAGGAACAATGCTAAAAAGTCTCCCTTTAATATAAATATGCTTTCCAAACTTCCAAAAAAAAATACATTGTACACAAATAAAATTAACAGGAAAACTAAATTTGAATGTGACTTCACATCAAAGTTACAAAAAATGAACCTACGTAAAAACAAAATCAAAATTTACCAATGAGACAAATTAAGGCAATTAAATTAAGATACAACCTTGTTTTGAAAAGGTGCCTGACAGTTCTAATCTAATCCTCTCAACAGGTGAAATAAAAATTGAGACATCAAGTAGTTTATATTCTTTTTTAATTTTTGAGATGAAGGCTCACTCTGTCACCCAGGCTGAAGTACAGTGATGCAATCTTGGCTTACTGTAGCCTCCATCTCTTGTGTTCAAGCGATTCTCCTGCCTCAATCTCTAGCGTAGCTGGGATTACAGGTGGACACCACCACGCTTGGCTGATTTTTGTATTTTTAGTAGAGATGAGGTTTCACCAAATGATCCACCCACCTTGGCCTCCCAAAGTGCTAGGATTACAGGTGTGAGCCACTGCACCCGGCCTCAAGTAGTTTAAATGGACTATCAATGATTCCACAGTCAATGACAAAGCCAGGATTTAAACCCAAGTTTCTCACTCTTCAATCCATTGATCTTTCCAACACACTAAAATACAATCTGGCAATTAAAAACACATACATGTACAAATATGTACGCTATCAGACATGTAAATATAATATCAGTAGGTATAATTTAGACAATCAATATTCAAGGTAAGAAAAATACAGAGAAAAAAATTCTGGGTTACCAAAAACATTTCTATGTTCTTTCTATAACAAACAATAATAACTTACACATTTCCTCTCAACTAGAACTGTAATTTGAGATCTATGATTAATAAAAATATTTGTTTTAATATACAAAATCACCAAACAAGACTGTAAATGGCAAATTTTCACAGATGACTGTCATCAGATAAAATAAAATTTCAGGTTTTATGGAATATTTTTAAAATTCTAGATATCAAAGGAAATACAACGTAAATACTAAACTGAAAAACTATTAGTGAATATTACATGATGGTACTCTTCTAAAATTCTTTAAGACTCTTAAAAACTAGCAATAAATCTACTCAGATTAAGAAGAAAACATGATGGTGAAACCTGAGTCTATTAAAAAAATACAAAAATTAGCTGGGAGTAGTGGTGTGCCCCTATAGTACTAGCTACTTAAGAGGCTGAGGCATGAGAATTACTTAAGCCAAGGAGGCAGAAGTTGCAGTGAGCCAAGACTGTGCCACTGCAATTCAGCCTGGGCAACAACTGTGTCTGACAGAAAAAAAAAAAAGTAAAAAGTAAAAACAAAATCTAGTAAGTAAAGGAAGAGTATCTCAGTAAAAGCAATTAAATTCAAAGCTATGTATATCTCCTAGAAATGTTTAATTTTCTTTTTCTGTAAAAGAAAATATAGTTTTGCAAAAAATATTATACACAATAAATATTATATTTTAATAAACATACAATACTATTATATTTTAATGTAAATGTTATTTGAATTTGGGGAAATTTTAATTATAAATGTAATTATAATTATATTTTAACAAAAATGTAATTATATTTCAATTTTAAATAAATTACAACATCAGTAAATAACCACAATAAAACTTCCAGGTTATATGGGGAAAATAGGTTCAAAGAGCTGTAGGAGTTGTACAGAGTAGGTATCATAGATTTTGTTCAGTATTTAGTTTAATAACTACAGCTATACAAACTGAAAGACAAACTGGATAATTTATTTTTAAAAGTCACTTCCCAGGTTACATATTATAAAATCTACAGATGATTTTATATTATAAAATAACCTCTGGATATCACAAGTGTTTCATCTCACCTTCCAAGGAAATACCAAGATTGGCCAGAATTAGGATCTGCCTCTATTGACTTTCGGAGATACTGAATAGCATAGCTTTCCTTTGTGGCTTTGTCTCCTGCTACATCCATATTATGATGCATCCAACCTATAATCAAAAGTTATGAGCATTTACCCATCATCATTCTACTTTATTAGTTTCAAGAAAATCATGAACAAAACAGCAAATTACTTCTCAGTAATTTATTCATTTAACTGAGATCACAGTTTCCCAAAATTTAAAACTACCAAAGTTCAGAGAAGTCTATTTCACACAAAATGATACAATCAACACTAGAAAAAGATCTTAAAGCACACAGAGAAAATTAAATGATTTTAGGAACTGAATTGACAAATGACAAACCAAGTTCTCTTCTGTAAATTTAAGTTAAAAAAAAATGCAAGTTATAAATCAAAAGTATAAAATTGATAAATTTACTTTTCCTTTGTAGGTTACCATGAAGTAGGGAATTTTAAAAACAACTTTCAACCCCATGCTTACATCCAAAGGATAAAAGCAAGCTATATAATCAACAATAATCAATTTATACTCTTTATCTTGTTTATGAGATGGAGTCTTGCTTTGTTTCCCAGAATGGAGTGCAGTGGCAAGACCCTGGCTCACTGCAATCTCTGTGTCCCAGGTTGAACAGATTATTCTGCCTCAGCCCTTTGAGTAGCTGGGATAATAGGCATGGGTCACGCTCTATGCCTGGCTCTAATTTTTGCATTTCACCATATTCACTAGGCTGGTCCTGGCCTTAAGTGATCCAACCACTTCAGCCTCCCAGTGTTCTGGAATTACAGGTGTGGGCCACCACACCTGGCCCATTTATAGTCTGCTTTCAACTTCTGCCTAAAATATAATCCATTATAAAATATTTTTTTAAATATTTTAATTAATTAATTTAATTAATTTAATAAAATTTTAAACAACTTACAGAAGGCCTTATACATTATTGGCATTGTTTACTTAAATAACATTCTAAAAGTCACAGCATTGGATAAACAACCACAATAAAACTTCTAGGCTATATGGAATAAGCAAAAGAAAACAAAAAAAGACGAAGAAGAAGAAGAAAAGTAGGTGGTACAGGCCCTAGGAAGTAGGCCCTAAGAGTGGTACAGAGCGTGTCCACAGGTTCTCCTTCAATAAACAGATTATGAACCACAGCTACATAAATAATTGAAAGACTATCTAATGGGTAATATATGCTAAATACTCAAGTCAAGTCAAAAACAGTCTGTCAGCTATGACTTAATTCAAGTGCATAAAATTAGCTTTGCAGGAATATCTAAGCAAAACTATGCTTAAGTGCTTTTAAAACTGTGAATAAAACACTGAGATTATAAGACGATTTATACTACCGCAAACTTGAGTAAAAATTAGGATTTTATTTGCTCAGACCAAAGTACTGAAGGACCGACAAATATTAACCCAACTAGCAAATACAATCAAGATAGATAAGAAACAAAATTAATTACTGAAGAGGAGCTTTGCTATATTAAATGATAACAACATATTATTTTATATTACTTTCAAACACTGGATTACCTTATCTTCAACATGAGAATATGTTACAGATTTTTGAGGGAAAAAAAACCTATAAGATGTTCTTTATAATTTTAGGTGGAATGTTTCCATTTATCGTATATCAATACAACTATAAAGCAAGGTTAGTATCCACTTACTAGATGTATGATAACCTCAATTCAATTTACTTCATAAAGTGTTAAGTAGACAGAAGATCTCCAATCTTATCCTGTGGTCAAGCAATAAGGGGATAATGTTGAGAATCCAAGACTAGCTGCACTAATTATTAACTTTTTTTTTTTTTAAGACAAAGTCTTGCTCTGTTGTCCAGGCTGGGGTTTAATGCCGCAATCTCAGCTCACTGCAGCCTCCACCTCCCGCGTTTAAGTGATTCTCCTGTGTCAGCTCCCCGAGTAGCTGGGATTACAAGTGCATGCCACCACATCAGGCTAATTTTTGTATTTCTAGTGGCAGGCGGTTGCAAGGGGAGGGTCACTATGTTGGTCAGGCTCCTCAAACTCCTGACCTCAGGTGATCTGCCTACCCCAGCATCCCACAGTGGCTGAGACGACATATGTGCATGACCACACCCAGCCAGCACTAAGCACTCTTTATATAGATGGTAAGGAGTGTGCTTCATAATGGGTTTAAGTATATCAACTATGAAAATACACTTATAGAAGAAAACATTTATATAGTAGTCCCCCATTACTTGCATTTATGCTTTCTATGGTTTCAGTCTCACAGTGCCAAAAAATGTTTAATGGAATAATCTCAGAAATAAGATATTTGTAAGTTTTAAACTGCATGCCACTCTGGGTAGCATAATGAAAACTTATACTACTACACCTACTCCCTGTCTGTGCAGTGTATCCACACTGACTACGCAACCCAGTCAGTAGTCACTTAGTAGTCTTAGCTGTATGAAAACATAGTAAAATATAGGGTTTGGAACTACTTGCAGCTTCCAAAGTATCATGGAACATGTAAGTCTGGGATAACCGGGGACTACTGTAATAGAATTATTCATTTAAAATTTTGCCTCAAAATAATACATGTCACATTTAATCTTAAATCATAGACTTCTAAATGAAAATGGACATCTAAGCAGAAGGGAAAAAACCGAATCTCAAAAGGAAAATCTCTTCATATTAATGTAATATATAATAAAAGTTAAGTTTTCATGTACCTAACTGTTGTAATACAGTTGCTTTTACTTGTGCAGGAAGGTTTTCTTTCTGTAAAAGTTGTTCATATGCTTCCTTTGCAGAATGATACTTCCTCTAAAGAGCAGAGGAAAAAGAATATTTAGAGAAAAATAAATATTTAAATAAAAATATTCTTGATTTTAACAATATATACAAGGCCATATTTATAGTAACTAAAATAAAAATAATAAAGCAATACATAATAATGAATAGTAAAAATTATAAATGTAATAAAAATAAATATAATTAAAATAGCTAGCACATGAAGATTTACAAATAATGATGTTTAAAAGTTTCTAGCACCACAAAAAAGTAACAGAAAGTAAAAAGTGCTAATATGTTAAGTGAGTATTTCTTTGGCCCAGGACAGCCATATTTCAGATTACAGCTAAAACACTAACATTAAATATAACAATGTATAACACAAAATATTACAACATTAAAAATATATATATATCTGAAAAGTTACAAGAAAAATTTGCAACCTCTAACATTATTTCAGTAACATTTATAAAGGTACATAAGTAGTCTATCAGATAATGCACTATTAACCTAGAAATACTTTCAAAGAGAAGAATAATTTGTTAGATCAAGTGCCACATTCTTTACAAAGTACTGCTCTTAACAGTACATAAGCAAATCTCTGTTCAAAATTTAAATTCAAAATTTAAAATATACAGTCCTTGAAAATATTCTTTAGAAATATTTATAATCTTAAAGATATTACATTTCTCATAGTTACAAAGTAACAATGTTTGTCATATTTAAAGTTACAGGCAATTTCTAAGTAAAACCATTTGCACACAGCTCTATCTCATGAAGTACTAATACAACTAAAACCTATTATTGTTAGTCATAAAGTTAAACTCAGCTCCTCCAAATTATAAATAAATAAATACCAAGTCTGAAATATATTTAGCAAAACCATGCTAAACAATGCAGTAAGAAAGTGGCTCATACTCATAATCTCACCTGCCTAAGCAGCTTTAACTTTTAAAGGAGCTACTAATGATTAAATCAAATTAGCAGAGCAATGTAACTAAAATCAATGGGGTATAAAGTGGCACTGAAAATAAGATTAACTAAAACTGACAGAGAAAGAAGTGGAGAAGTAGACATTAGTTTTCTCTCTTTCTCCCTCTCTCATACGTATACACAAATATAGGAAAACTGACCAAAAAAGGTGAAAGCACAAGTCATAATATGAAAAATGGAGTAAAATTTATAAGTATTTAAACGCATAAATAACACATTTATTTTCAAATACGGCACTAAAGACCATAGGGAGTACCACAGCAAAAGAAAATAAGTAAAACACTCAAAATATTTTAACTGCATTACCTCAATGCAAAAAAAAGAGAGTGGCATGACAAAATACATCCCTTTTTCATAATTAAAAAAAAACTGGCTGGACAAGGTGGCCTATGGCTATCAACCAGCACTTTGAAAGGCCAAGGTGGTTGGATTGTTTCCCAGGAGTTCCAGACCAGTCTGACTAACATGGTGAAACCCCGTCTCTACTCAGCTACTCAGGAGGCTCAGGTAAGAGAAGGGCTTGAACCTGGGAGGTAAAGGCTGCAGTGAGCAAAGACTGAGCCACTGAACTGGCTCAAGATTGAGCCCCTGCAGTGAGAAAAGATTGAGCCTGAGTGACAGAGTGAGAGTCTGTCTCAAAAACAAAACAAAAACCCAAACCTCAAAAATTATAAATGGAAGGGAGCTTCTTCAAGGTAAGAAAGGCCATATATGAAACCTCTCTCAGGGAGGGATAAGCAGGGGATGGTGGAATTGGGGAGGGATAACATTAGGAGAAGCACCTAATGTAGCTGATGGGGGGAGGAGGATGGATGTAGCAAACCATCATCGCATGTGGAGGGAGGGAGGGGGGGAGAAAAAGGAGGGAAGGAAGGGAGAAAGGGAGGAAAGGAAAGGAGGAAGGGAGGAAAGGAAAGGAGGAAGGGAGGAATCCTCAAAAAATGTCAGTGAAACACTGACAGCATTCCCCTAATAAGAAGAACTACAAAAGAAACCAAAATCACACTACTACTCAACTTAGTAATGAAAGTTCTAGCATAAACAATTAGATAAGAAAAAGAAATAAAAGGCATCCAAGTCAGAAAGGCAAATAAGCTCATTTTCCTGAGATGACATGATCTACATAAAAAATTGTTACACATATACAAAAGACACACACACACACACACACACACACACACACACACACAGAGTAAATAAAGTCAGCAAAGTTGCCAGATGCAAAATCAACAATCAAAATTAGTTGTACTTTAGTCCCTCCTTATATGCAGTTTCACTTTCCATGGTTTTAGTTACCCAAATGCAAATGAAGTCCAAAAACATTACATAAAAAAATCCAGAAATAAAACAATTTATAAGTTTTAAACCATGTGCTGTTCTGGGTAGCATCATGAAATCTCACAGCATTCATGCCACTGGGAATGTAAGTCATCACTCTGTCCAGTGTACCTGCACTGTATATGCATACCCATACTGGGTGTGCCACGAAATCTCTTTCTTAATAGCTATATTGATTTATCAGCGTGAAAATCATAGCATATATAGTGTCCAGTACTATTCAAGTTTTCAGGTAACCGAAGGAAGTCTTAGAATCAGTCTCCATCAAGTAAATTGATGGGGAATTGTGAGGGGATAGGAAGTGAGAGGCATTAATGTATACTAGCAACAGCAATTAACTAATTTTAATTAATTTCTAAATAAATTTGAAAAAGAAACTAAGAAAGCAATTCTATTAGGAGTATTAAAAAGAAAAAATAAATAAAGGAATAAATGTACCAAAGGCAAAAGATCTGCACACTGCAAACTACAAAACAATGCTAAAAAGACACAAATAAGCAAGAGACATCCTATGTTCATGAACTGGAATTCCTGATATTTTCGCAATGACAGCACTTTCCAAAACAGTTTACATATGTAAAACAATCAATCTCTATGAAAATTCCATAGTGATTTGCAAAAACAGAAAAATTCATTCTAAAATTCATATTGCAAAGGGCCATAAAGAGCCAAATAACTTGGAAAAATTGAAGAATTTGCACATTCAACATTCAAACGGACCATAAAATGACACGTAAATGAAACAATATGTTGTTGGCATAACAACAGAAGACAGCTCAGGAATAAAATACCCACACAAATGGTCAACTGATTTTCACCAGAAGTGCCAAAACAAGTCACTGAAAAATAGTGTTTTCAACAAGTGGTGCTTATAAAATTTCAATATCCACATTGAAAATAATGAAAATGGGTCCTCTTACACTATACATAAAGAATTAACTGAAAATGAATAAAAAGCCGTCAACGTAAGACCTGAATTATAAAGCTCTTTTAAAAAATTGCATTATGTCTTCACACCTTGGAGTTGATAGTGATTTCTTAAACATGACAATGTAACATAGGTAACAAAAAGAAAAACAGGATGTTTTCAAAATTAAAACTTCTGTGCATCAAAATACTCTATCAAAATAGTGAAAACCCCAAAGTGGAAGAAAATATATTCGAATCATGTATCTGGTAAAGAGATTAATATTCACAATATATTATGAACTACTATAATTTGACAACAAAACCCCTCACAACCAATTCAAAAAAGGTCAAAGAACTTGAATAAACATTTCTCCAAGAAGCTATACATGTTGCCAATAAGCACATGAAAGGATGCTCAAAACCATTAGTCACTAGGGTAATCTACATCAAACACTAATGAAACATCACTTCACAACCACCAGGGTGAAAGACATGGAAAAATTTGAACCCCTGTATATTGCTATTAAGAATGCTGCAACTACTGTGCAAAACAGCTTGATGATTCCTTAAAATTTACTAAACAAAATCATCATATTTCTTACCAATTCCACTAGCTATATAGCTAAACGAAAACAAAGACTCAAATATTAATACTTGTACACCTCTCTGTACAAGCAGTATTATTCTGTAATACTGTAATTATTTTATAATACTGTATATAGCAGTATGTTTCCAATTGTCAAAATATCAAAATAATCCAGCTGTTCATCTACAGATAAATGGATAGGCAAAAACATAAATATGAATAAGTATAACAAAATATTATTCAGGCACAAAAAATATGTAAGTTCTGAAAATGTGAATGAACCTTAAAAGTCAAAACTAAGTAAAATAAACCATACACAAAAAGACAAATACTGTATGATCCACATGTGCCAGGTATCCTCGCATAGACAAATTCAAAGATAGAAACCAAAGGATACCTTGGGCAGCAGTCAGAAGAAAGTGAGGACTCAGTAAGTACAGGTTTTGTATTTTAAATGATAAAAAAGCTATGGAGACAAACAGTGGTAATGGTTACACAATACTGTCAATGTATTTAATGCTATTAAATGCAACACTTATAAGCACATAAAATATGCCTCAGGAGGCTAAGGCAAGAACTGATTTAGGCCAAGACCCATCTTTTAAAAATAATTTTTAAAAATTAGATGGGCATGGTGGCATGTCCCCCCAGTCTTAAAGATAGAAGAAGATAAAAATAGTAAATGTCATGGGATGTTTCTCTAGTTAGAAAACAAATGAACAAACAAAATACAGAAAATACAGTCAGTATAGTATGTTGCCTTAGGAAAAGATTTACATATAAACCTATACAGATCTAGCTATGAGCCCCATCTGGTCTCAAACTCCTCCTGGCCTTAAGCAATCCTCTTTCATCAGCCTTTCAAAGCACATTTTATTGTTTTTAAGTGTACCACTGAAGTACTTTCACAGTGTTGTGTAACCATCATCACTATTTCTAAAACCTTTTTGGAAATAAATAGTGATAATGGTTACACCTCGATAAAGAAAATGTTACTTTATTAACTCCACATTCTCTATTGACTTCAGCCCCGGTAAGCTTTACTTCAGATTGTTAAATTTGTCTATTCTAGATACCTCATACAGGTAGATCACAGTATTTGTCCTTTTCTATCTGGCTTATTTAACTTAGCCTTTAAAACAAAACAAAATAAAATAAAATACATTCTTATATACTCAACACCCTAATTCTGAAATTCTGAAAATTT